ATATATATATATATATATATATATATGACAAAAGCCAAGCCATCTTGTTGAAAATGGCATAGGTGTCCCAGAGCTTCACCTACAGAGCATGGTTTGAAGAGAAAGCATGGTTTGAAATCACTTGGCATTTTTGTTTTTGTATTTATATTCCTCCTGAATTTATCTATAATTTGAGTCCTAAGCCAAAAAGCAGTTTTCTCCTGTCGAAGATTTAAAAAATATTGAAAAGATACCTGATGCATGCCTTTTCTTTTCATATTTTAGTGAGCAACTGTTAATTATTAAAATAAATAATCACAAAATTGTAAAAGATCTTTTATAAGCCTTCAGTTACTGTTTATAATTCTTTTACCAATGCTTGTTTTGGTAGTTATTAAAATAAATTATTTCATTTTCATTTTAGATCTGGTAGAGGACGGAAATTAAGTGGAGACCAAATAACTTTACCAACTACAGTTGATTATTCATCAGTTCCTAAACAGGTAATTTTTTTTTTAAGGTTGAATAAGGGTTCCAGAACCATAGTTTTCATACTGGATTGCAGACCATTAATTAGTATGTCATGAAGTTAATTTGGTAGTCAAGTCAGGATTTTTGTTATATTTTTTAATCCTAAAATCTTTATTTGGTTCTTCATAGTATTTTCTGTTACTTTGCTGAGATTTTCTATCTTGTTTTTCCATTGATTTCAAGAGTGTTTGCTATTGCTTGTTAAAGTTTTTTTATAACTACTTTAAAGTCTTAGATAATTATAACATTTATATTATCTTTCCATGCAAGTTGAAATTTATTGATTGCTGAATAATTTTGAGTTGTTTCACAGACGTTTTGAATATTACATTTGAGATTCTGTCTTCTATAAATTCTATCAAGAATGTTGATTTTTTTTAAATCAGGTAATCAACCTGGTTAAGCTTAGGATGCAAGTTTCAATATTCTTTCAATGGACTGTAGCTTTAAATGTCAGTTCAATTTTTAAAGCATTTGCTCTTATTTTGGTTTTGGTTTTTTAATGGATAGAACTGATTAATTTCTAGTAAAAGTAAGTTTTTTTTAAACTTTTGGTTTAGTTTTGGTATGTGTTATAAAATTTGTATTTTCCTTTTGGTCAGAAAGTTTGAAAACCAATTGTTTAGACAGCCTATAGTTTCTTTTTCTTTTCTTTTAATGTTTATATATTTTTGAGAGAGAGGGAGACAGCGAGCAAGTGGGGTAGGGACAGAGAGTAAGGGACATGTAGAATCTGAGGTAGGCTCCAGGTTCTGAGCTGTCAGCACAGAGCCTGACACAGGGCTCGAACTCATGAACTACAAGATCATGACCTGAACTGAAGTTGGTTGTTTAACCGACTGAGCCACCCAGGCTCCCCTAGAAAGCCTGTTTTTCTAATAAATGATGAATTGAGATGTTGACTAGGTTACTCCTTTGTGACTGACAATATTTGTCAATGAAATGTAGGCAGATGTTGAAGAGTGGACATCCTGGGATGAAGATGCACCCACAAGTGTAAAGATTGAAGGAGGGAATGGGAATGTGACGACACAACAAAATGCTTTGGAACAACTGGAACCTGACTATTTTAAGGACATGACACCAACTATAAGGAAAACTCAGAAAGTATGTTAAAGATTTATGCTTTTGGAAGTTAAACTATTAAACTGCTTTTCAGATTCCTGTAGTCAAAATTAGTATAATTGATATTTGTCAGAAAGCCTCTTTATGATGATCAATTTGTTGTGTTTTCTGTCATATTAAACAGGTTGATATATTCAACCTACTAGACGTAGATCTAGTAAGTTGTACCCCTACATCTGTTAAAGTTTTATAAATATTACTGAAATCCAACTGTAGACCAGATTCTAGATTCCAGTCTGTTCTGTAGAGACTAAGCTGAATAAGATAAAGTTCTGACCTTAAGAGAGTTCACAGGTAGCGATGTCTACAAACTGATGGGTATAGTTTCCATTGTTCGTAACCATTATAAAACTGATGTAAGGCTCTGAGAGCACAATAACTGTGAGCTTATGTTAATCTTCCACACTTTAATTAATCCATTTTGAGTTGGATATGGAAGATCACTTAAAGGTGGAGGGGAATTATTGGAAAAAGAACAGTGACTGATTATTTTCCTTTCTTTTTATCAAAAATAGTACATGTACTTAAAAAATTAAGTTAAATAATATAGAAGAACTTTTCATGAAAAGCAACAAACTTCTGTCCCATCATTCCCCATAGCCAGTTGTACTTCCCATAAGCAATCGCTCATAACTTTTCCTGTTTGGGTTTGTAATGTTTTTTATCATATCTATATATAATATGATTAAGTTGCTGTGTCTTGATTTACCAATCACAGACATTGTCCATTGGCTTCATACTATCCTAGATGAGGTTTGTTTCATACTACTCTCACTACTATTCCTCCTCTTCCAAATATTATGATGTTATTATTCCAGTCTACCTCACTAGTCACTCTGACATTTCAAAAAAATAAGTAAGTAAACATATTTAGAGTTCCATTTCTTGTTCAGTCATGCATAGAAAATATTTTTTTAAATATACTTTATAAAAAGAGGACATTATTTATTCCACTCTTCTCTAATAGGGTTTCTCACCCTCTTCTACCTCCCAGCCAGTTTCAGCTGTAAATTTATTTTGACAATTTCAAGGCTGATAACATTTACATTCTGTAATCATGATTGTTTTTGTTAAGCTGTCCAAATGTCTCAGTGCTGAAAAGCATTAAGTTGTGTATTTTTCAAGGAGTTTGAGTTTCTTAGTAGATGAATACCGTATATTTTGGAAGAATATTGCTGTTCTTAATAGAAATCCAGAATATTACACTAGTACCTTGATAAATTAATTAGACTGAGAATGTTTAAGCTACACAGCTAATACTACTGCCTTGAAAGAGTTAATACATTCATCAATAACCATATGCTAAGAGAGCTTTTAGAAAGATGTAACACGTGTTCTTATTTAATACAGTGACTAAAAGTGCCAACTTCTATTTTATGGGGCTAGTGAAAGAAAAAGAGGAAAATTTATTCTTTTTAGAAAAAGTAAAATGGAATTTTTCTTAATATGTAAGTGATTTGTATGACAATTGCTTAAGAATTTTGATACTCTTTAGAGATTTAAAAAAAATTATATTATAAATTTAAAAAAAAGAAAGGCAGGACATATTTAAAATAATTATAAAATACTTTGGTCACTTAATTATCTTGTTTCTTTTTACATGATATGTAAAATACTCCTGTAATTCTGTTTCAATTAATCTTTCAGATAATTATTAAGAAGAGAGAACCATTAAATTTTGGCATCCCAGATGGTAGCACAGGTTTCTCTAGTAGATTGGCAGCTACACAAGATATGCCTTTTCTTCATCAATCTGTAAGTATGTAATAGTATCTAGATAAGAGTTTGTTTTTATTTGTTTTCTTGAAAAGAGAAGAAAAAAAATCAAAATGAAGTGAACATAATATTTGTATTTCTCTGCTTTGAAACAGGTTTAGCAGATTGAGAGAGATTAATCTGGAGTTTTACCAATCTTATCCTTTTATGAGATTGTAAATTTCATCAGCAACTAAGATCAGAGTCCCACTGTATACATAAAAGATCGAGACAATATGTTACTTAAAAATATGACCTTTAGGGGCGCTTAGGTAGCTCAGTCGGTTAAGCGGCCGACTTCAGCTCAGGTCATGATCTCGCGGTCTGTGAGTTCGAGCCCTGCGTCGGGCTCTGTGCTGACAGCTCAGAGCCTGGAGCCTGTTTCAGATTCTGTGTCTCCCTCTCTCTGACCCTCCCCCGTTCATGCTCTGTCTCTCTCTGTCTCCAAAATAAACGTTAAAAAAAAATATATATGACCTTTGAAGAGATTACCACTGAAATTTAAACTTAAAAGCAGGTAATTTTAAGTGAGTCATGAATTGTTTCCCTAGTAGAGTATATTTACATTTAAAGTATAAGTTGACTTATAGTTGGTTTTGACTTAAATGCATCAGTTTTAAGGACAAAAGGAGTAAGGAAAATATATTAACTGTTTCCCAACCTTGGAAGATCTCAGAATCAGCTTTGAATTTTTTTTTTAATGTTTTTATTTATTTTTGAGAGAGAAAGAGAGAGTGAATAGGGGAGGGGCAGAGAGAGAGGGAGACACAGAATCCGAAGCAGGCTCCAGTCTCTGAGCTATCAGCACAGACCACGATGTGGGGCTCAAACTCATGAACTGTGAGATCATGACCTGAGCCGAAGTCAGACACTTAACTGACTCAGCTACCCAGGCATCCATTTGAATTTTTTTTAAAAACACCAATGTCCAGACTTCTCCCCAGATCTAAGCTTTATCATGCTTTGATTAATGATTGATTAATTTATTATATTAGTTATTGTATAACAGCCCCACACTTAGTGACTTAAAACAGTAAACATATGCTTTATCTCCTACAGTTTCTATGGATTGGGAATCCAGAAGTGACTCAACTGGATGGTTCTGGCTCAGGGTTTCTAATGAGTTTCCAGACACATCATTAGCTGGGGCTGTAGTCATCTGAAGGCTTGACTGGAACTGGAGGCATCATTTCAAAGGTGGCTCATTTTACATGCCTGGCAATTTAATGCTGGTTGGTTGCACAAAGCCTCAGTTCCTTGTCACGGATCTCTCCACAGGGCTGCTTGAGTTTCCATATAACATAACTGCTGAGTTTTCCAGAACAAGCAGTCCTTGAGAGAGAGAGAGGACATGCAGACATGAAGCCACAATGCCTGTTTGTGACTTAGTCTTATGAGGGACACACTGTCACCTCCAATTATTTTATTCATTGGAAACTAGTCAGTAAATCCGGCCTACATGCAAGGGGAGAGGAATTCAGCTCTACCACTTGAGGAAGGAGTGCCAAAGAATTTGCAGACATATTTTTAAATTACCACCATCTTATTTGTTTGTTTAAACTGCACAGGTGTTTCAGAGTACCCTCTCCTTGGAGGACCCATGTTTATGTATGTTTTTAATTCATTAATCAAAATCTGTTCCTACTAATGTGAGACAGTGTGTTAGGTGCTAGTAACATAGAAGAAAGTAAGCAAAACAGGCAGAGTCCTTGCTTCAAAAGAGTGCAGTCTATGGGGGAGTTTCAGTGTTAAATAAATGATCACACATAAATAATGCAGATTTTGATAACTGCTGTGCAGTTACATCATGCTATGAGAGCATAATAGTACCATAGATGTTTCTCTAAAAGAACATAGCATGTTTCTTATTTTATATTTCTAAGTTTTATACTTTATTCATATATGTTTGATCCATATTGGTAAAGTGGTTCAAATTTTTCCAGTGAATTAGTAAAACGTTTGCCACTTAACTGGAGTTATACGTTATTATAACACTAATATAGCTCATTATGAAGTTGTAAATATGTAATTCCTTATAGAGTTGGAAAAGGTAAATAGGGTAGGTGGAGAATCTCCAATGCTATTTCCACATACTTTCCTCCAAGCAGATGAAATAAGGGAGTATTGCTTAGGACAGAATGGTAATCTACTGCACTTTGTTCTCTGCTCCAAAAATAACGTATCACCCATTCTACCAATTAGGCTTCTTTGAAATTCCACATTCTATTTTTTTTTAATTTAATCATCTATATTGTTTTGATAGCTTTTTATAGTAAGGATATTAACTTTTTTCTGTCATCTTTTATAACTTTTCAGTTCGTTGTTGGTTTTATTTGGTTTGGATGTTTTTGATTGGCAGATACTTGTTTTTATGTAACAAATCAATCTTATCATTTAAAACTTTTTTACTTAGAAGGCCATCTTTACTAAAGGACCAGATATCACTCTTTTTTTATGGTCTTAGGAGTTAACTTTTTAAATATCTAAGTGTTTTATACATAGAAAGTCAAATATCTCAGTGGAAAAACGGATATGAAATAGACATAGCCTGATAACGAAGAAATGTTCTCAAAGAAATCCAAAGTAAAATAATAAGACACAATTTTTAAATCTTAACAAATTAGTTAAGAAGAAAGAAGGCCATTGGCCATATTGACAGATGACAGGAAGACAAGGCTTCACTTGCTGCTGTTGGTGGGATAAATTGGTATAATTTTTCAAGAGGGTCATTTTTATTTGGTTCAGTGGTTTTAGTTTTTTTTAAATTTGATTTAGCTATTCTAATTTTAAAGATTTATATTAAACAGATAATCAGAAATACACTAAAAATTTTTAACAGAGGGAGTGCCTGGCTGGCCCTGCCCATAGAGCATGTGACTCTCAATCTTGGGGTTGTGAGTTTGAGCCCCACTTTGGGTGTAGAGACTATTTAAAAATAAAATATTAATTTTTTTTTTTTTTTTAGCAGAGGATGGTATTACATTTACAGTTAGGAGAAAACCATACAATTTACTTCATTTTTAGGTGTAAGCGCTCAAAAGAAAATATAATAAATCTATTCACAGATTGACACCAGTTATTTTATGTTCATAGTCACTTCCACACCTAAGTAGACATTCCGGAATGAGCATTTTTATTGTTTGGTGGAAGAAAAAGTGAACTTTTAGAGGTCTGGCCTGGGGAATAGTGGAAGGTAGTGGCTAGCCTACTGGTATCAGGTAAGTAGGACAGGCAGAAGGAAGCACAATGTAGAAGTACTCTGGTGAAGAGTAAATGTTGCCTGATTTATTGTGTTTGCCTTGGACCCACATAGTAAGAGCCACTGAAAAATCTGTATGTTACTTATGCTTAAATGAAAATGCATGTGCCGGCTTGGAAACTTCAGTTCCTCATGTTGATCTCAGCACAGAGTAGTGAAGCACCTCTAATCCCGTCTCCAGTCAGTCTGTCTCTTCTCTTGTCCCCACCCCACCCTGTCAGCTCACTGAAAAGAGAGAAACCGAAAGAAGAAATGTTCTATTCTTGTCCATTCCAATTTAAAGTAGGCAGAAAAAGAAAAGTCAGTATAAAAGGACTATGCTTTAAAACATAAAATAGGAAGAAAGCTGGACCTGCCCAGGACTGCTGAGTACTGAAAGTCACACATCACAGGAAACCCCTGAGTTCCAGGCAGACCAGGGGCCAAATCATCTGGGCCTTTGATAGGACATGAAGAAGACACAGAGGAGTGACAAAATCTGAGTTATGTTTTAAAAGATACCCTTCTTAGGGCGCCTGGGTGTCTCAGTCAGCTAAGTGTCCGACAGCTCATGTCATGGTCTCATGGTTCATGAGTTCGAGCCCCACGTCGGGCTCTGTGCTGAGAGCTCGGAGCCTGGAGCCTGCTTCGGAAACTGTGTGTCGCTCTCTCTCTGCCCCTCCCCTACTCATGCTCTGTCTCTGTCTCTCAAAAAATAAATAAATGTTAAAAAAAAATTAAAAATAAAAGATACTCTTCTTGATCTCTAAGGGGAGAAAGGAGAGCTCTTTACTCTCATAATTTTGTTTTGTGTTTTGTTGTAGCCTGAATTAGGTGACTTAGATACCTGGCAGGAAAATACCAATGCATGGGAAGAAGAAGAAGATGCGGCCTGGCAAGCAGAAGAAGTTTTGAGGTATTTTAGTAATATTTACACTGCAACTCGAGTAGAGGAACCAGATTTGTTCATGTTACATTCAAAGTCAAGAAGCTTATTCTGCCAAACATTTTATTTTTCTTAAATCTTTCTCACTTGAGCTTAGATAATATGAGATTTTTTATTTCAGACTACATATACTATTTTACATGATTAAAACTTCACAGAAACCAGAAATTTAAAGCATTACAGAAACAAAAGAGTAATAATGTTATTAACAGCAAATCAGATCTTTTTCATATATACATCATTTACTATTTGCTTTATACTACCTTCCTTCTAAAACATAGTTACCTTTTGAAATGTGAGCCACCACTGTATATTCCTCTAAGTCAGCAATTCTACCTTTAATTTTGTTTCTCTGTGGCCTAGAATAGTGCCCAGCACTGCACATTTGAATGGCAATAATGTATATAGCACTCTACATTTGTATATGTATCTTATTAGTTGATATACTCAAAAGCCCTATGAATTGTAAATAATTATGTCAGGTACTGCCCATTCTACAGAGAAGAGAATACTATTCTAGAGGTCTTCAGGTTTGTTTTCATTGGTGTTTATGTTCTTATCTCCGTGTTTTTGTGAGCAATAAATATAATTCTTGCTATTGCTGCATTAAAGAGTAAAGAGAAAATTTACCCTGAAAGAGTTTGTGACCATCATCACTGATGAAAAGCTCAGATATTTAAATGTGGGTAAATTATTTTTGTGTTTTTTAAAGATATAGTAAAATACATTGATGTAAGTTAATTTTAAAAGATAGTTTTTATAATAGGGATAGAAAATAACAACTGATTTCATTGATTTCATTTTTGTATTTCTCTGTCTTTATCAATTACAGTTACCTTGAACAGACAGCAGAGGGTGCAGTTAAATAAATGAGAGTTACGGCTTTTTTTTTTTTTTTTTTTTTTTTTTTTTTTTTTTTTTTTCTTTTTGGTCTTGTCCTTCCTATTTTAAACACTTTTTTTTTTTTTTAACAGGGATGGGTCACATTTTACTAGTAAAGTTATGAGAGTTTTAAATATTTAGTTTTCAGTTAATCATTATTCACTGTAAAGGAATTATTTTTTAAATTGTAAACAGCCACATTTATGTTGCATAGATCATCCAAAAAGATGTTACTTTTTTTTTTTACTCTATTTTTGGATAAATCATAGATATAGAAGTCTGAGTGTTTTAGAATAAACAGTGGTCATTAACCACAGGATAAAGGAAGGGCCATTCATTCTGAATCCAGTAATAACGACAGTACTGTACAGTTTATGAGTTCACAAGTATCCTAACATTCACTGTACCAAAACATTTTTGTCCACCCTATCCTCTTGCACTCTGAACAAAACAAGACAAAAAAAAACAAAACCCTAAACTTAGTGTTTTATGTTATATGACAGTTTAGGAGAAGGGGCCTATCAGTCAGTAATATATATGCTTCATGCTGCAAGTTGCATAAGTTAGAGTCGGAGAGACTTCATGTCCTGCGGTTTATTGTCCCCAGAAGAACACTGCAAATTGTTAGTGTATTCACACTCCATGTCCTCTGACTCAGTCCATTTCCCATTGCCAATGCAATACTGCCAGTACTGTAATCAATATTGTTAAGGAAGAAGATTCCTATACTTTAGAAATTCCAGGCATGTATCTGGAGAGGAAAAATAGGTTTTCTCTGAAGTAATCTCTAAATTGCTTCATTTTCCAGGAACATGAATTGTTGATATTTACACTTCAGCTAGTAACAAGGTGAAGGCTTATTTGTTTGCAAACAGCCGGCCCTTTATAATTCTTTTCTTATCTTCCTTTTTGCCACTGACATTTTGACTGTTTTAGGGCAGATTATCAGTTTTGCTTGAAAGGTATCAGAGCTAGTGAAATGTAGATTTTTTTTAAAACTATTCTTCCAAAACTCTGTGAAGGTCAAAGTATTGCCTAAAAAACCTCTGTACTTTCTTGAATTTTGGTCATACACCTCTCTGCTTACTCCCACTTATAAATACGATGAGACAAAGATTTCGCTTGCCAGAGTCGGCTTTGAGCTGCCCCATATATAGGTATAAAAGCTTGTGTTGCCTATCCCACGTACAACTGTGACCTACCACTTCCCTCCTCAACCTTGCATGTTTTGACTTATTTTCTCATACCCTCATCCAGAACCAGCTTCGGTTCTTTTCTCTCCTCTCCATCACCCCCTACTACTCTCACTCCCCACATGAGTCAGTCAAATGACAAAAGAGAGGCTGGTGATTCTAGGTCTGTAGAGTCAGGGAGGGGCCAGGGAAGAGGTAAGGATCTCCTAATGTATACTCAGTAAATACCCACCATTCTGCCCCTTCATCAGTAGAGCTGGCCAAGTGTTAATCTGTAAATAGATTTCTAGCTTCCAGTTGGAAGGCTGGTGTGAAGTTTCCATTTTCTTCGGGCATTGTGTTCTGCACATCTGTGTTCTTGACTTCCTTTAGCAGAGTGTTTTTAACTATTATAATAATAGAAGATTTAATCCTCAACATCATGCTTTTCTGAATGCTATCAAAAAGAAGGTGTGGTGCAGGGGAGGTGGTGGTTTAGTGAAAATAATCTGAAGAAGAAGAGGGGTTAGAAGATATGGGTTCTTTTACTTAAGTTTATGACTTTGGGCAAGGCACTCGGCCTTTGTTCTTCATTTTACTTATTTGTAAAATGGAGATAATACTCTTATTTTCCAAGCTTTGTTTTAAGGATTAAAAGAAATACTAATTTTGAAAATCTTTGAAGTTTTCAAAGCAGTGAGAAGAATGAAGATTTTTTGAACTTACATTTGATGATAGCTGTTTCTTTCTGGAATTTATTTGCCATTTTACTTGTGTGGTATTTTCTAAAAGTAAATATAGGACTGTGTTTCTCTTCAGGCAGCAGAAGATAGCAGACCGAGAAAAGAGAGCGGCGGAACAACAAAGGAAGAAAATGGAAAAGGAGGCACAGCGGCTGATGAAGAAGGAACAAAACAAAATTGGTGTGAAGCTTTCATAGCAAATGCTCTTCACATGTCATAGTGCCAGGAGGAGAAATGGGAGTTCCACAACTCAAGCAACATTTCGAGGGATTTCAGAGTATTTTCAAGAATACAAACACATTGCTTGGTTTTATTGCATTCATCTGGCCATCTAGGACACCAGGATTCTCTCAAAGTACCTTGAGCTCTTAGTGATTGAGACTCAAAAGAAGAAAAAGACCTATGAGGCAATATTTTTTTCAACATGCTCCAAGTGTAAGACAATTGTTTGCTGTAGAGAAATTATTACAAATGGAATATACCAGTACCTCTTCTAGCTAGTGTTTCTAGCTGAATAAATGGGTGTAAATAATTTTATGGTGGTAAAGAACTCTGCTCTCTATAATGCTTTCCTTCATTGTGCATAATGATAAAATAAATAATTTTAAATATTTTTTTGTTTCCATGATTATCTGACCTAAATCAGACAAACCGCAGGGCTTTAACTTCTTTATTTTTGTTGTCAGAAGCTGGTGTTGACATACATTTCCTCTAAATTGAACTGGTATTGTTTATGTTTAATATGACATTAAGGGATTTGATGACTTTGGTTTTCAAGAAAATCACATTAAATGCAGTACTTTTATTTATCTTATATATTTTATACATCATTGTTTCTTTTAGACGGTGTTGTAATGTTATACATATTTGTAATTTATATTGCATGTATAAATTGGAAATCAGCAAAATGACAAATTTGCATTATTATAACTTGTGAGTTTTAAAAACTAGTATTAGTAGTTTTTCCCTTTTGTTAGGGATTTTAAGATATTACAGTGTTTTAAGTACCTTAGTCCCTTGCACAAAAGCCATTAAATTCCAAATGCAGAAAGCCTTCAGTTCTAAAATTTCAAAGCTTTTAGGTGATTTCTGTATCAATTTTATATATCTGACATAATGCAGTTCACCATGTTGTTGGCTAAGATAATATTATCGATTCATTAAATTTCAAACTGAGATAGGAATAGTATTTTTATTTTTGGGTGTTGACTGGCTCCAAAATCGTTTCAAGGAAAAAGATACATACTGTGTTTACGGGAAAGAAATAGATTTGATAGTTTAAAATTCCATTAATTTTTCTCCACAATTAAAATACATGCAGTCTGATTTTCTATGGCTTTAGAATTTTTAAAGATTTTTACTTTCATAAAAGTTGTTGCCCAAAATTAACATTCTGTGGGGTTTTTTTTAATGTTACAAGTACTCTAAACTATGGCTGATCTGTTAGAATTTAAAATATTTCATAGTAAAATCACAGACTATATAGTGAGATCACCCTGGGTTCTTATCCTAAGCTCCCAGACTAAATATGATTGTAGAATCAGTTGAAATTTAACTTTGGTAAAAAGCTGCTTTTTACAGTCCCAAGCCACATTTTCAATCATCAGGTTTATTTGAGTTTCTGCCAATATACTCCCAATTAAATAGAATTAGACTTAAATTTTTAGTAATAAAAGTTTTCTCTTCCCTTATTTGTATTTATTTATTTTTGTTCATGGGAATGCTACATGATTTCTTTAAATTTGGCGTTCATAAAGGATAACCTCTCTTTTAGCACAATAAATTTTACTGCTTTTTCCCAACAGTTGACAAGTATTGAAGTCTGCTTTGGTCATGACTTTCATGAGTGTGGGATTTTGTTTTTTGTTGGTTTTTTGATTTTTGTTTAATTAGAAGTAAAAACTGGTTAGAAATTATAGTTTGTATGATTAATTCGAGATTTTTCTTATGGAAAGAATGAATAACAATTCTGGGATTTTTTTTAAGCCTCTTTTGATATGTAAACTGAATACCTGTGTTCAGTTTGGGTATAATATGGTCCCGAAAGAAGTTGTGTTGTTAAATACATATGATAAACACTTCATGGTAACAAACTGGCTCTTTTAGCTTTGAAATTTATAGTTTCTGTTTTTGTTTGAATTTTAATTAAGAATTACCAGTTCTAGGAGCTTATTAGTAAAAGTAAAAAATATGGATAGTCATATATAGAATTAGTGAAGTGCTACCCATTATTTGAATTATGCATTTCATGTATTGAGGTACCAAGTAATGTGCAGACATGTGAAACTTTGTTTTGTGTGTGTGTGTGTACACACACACTATATATATGTATACAAACTGTGTGTGTGTGTGTGTGTGTATATATAGTTTCCACTTATTTTCCTCTTATTAAGCTGTAGCTAGGGATATCTTCTAGTTGACTCTTGGCTCTTTTTTAGTAGCATAATTTAACTGAGTCAACATTTGAGAACTTAAAATTCAGCATTTAAATTCCTCAGTTTTGACCTGCACTTGCCTCTGGCCAGTATGGTGACTATTCTCTGTTGAAGATTGGTGGTTAGGAAGAAGGTGGTAGCTATCGAAACTGGTATCTGGATCAAGCATCCAACACCACTCTATATGCTACCAGTATAGTGCAAATCTGACCATGGCCAGTGTTCCAAAAAGCCTAAGTTTTGTCGTTAATGATGTAAGTACTAAGGGATGGTCTGGGCCTGATATATCTAACACACATCTTGTTTAATCCTGTGTAGTTCAGCTTTAAGATAACCTACTGCAACTATTTTCAGTCTTTAGCCCCTTGTTTAAAAGAAATCTTTCATAAGGTGTGTAAGAAAATTAAGTTACTGTGGTGAGTAGTTTCGGCTGAACCACATTGAGGGGTGGGGGTTTGCTTCCGGGAAGAAGTTTCTCCCCTCCAGTGAATTGGAGTGCTGAAGAAGATGGTGGGTCCATGAAGAGCTTATTTCAATAGTGAATAACTTAGTAAACTTGTGTTTACCATTTACAAAGATTTTTAAAATTTGAGGTCCTCTCTCCTAATAACAAGGAGCCTTTTTTTTTCTTCATGTAATTTACTTCACTTTAACCAAAGTTGTTCCAAGGTTATAGGATCAACTTGTGATTCCTTTTGTATTCAGCTGTTTTTCACTTTGCTTCCCACCTCTTATCTGCCATGCCCCTTAGTCATGACCATTGGGGATGCTCAGTAAGTAACTGAGGTAAGTTTTGAGAGTAGTAAGATGCTTTTCTTTCTTTCTTTTTTTTAAAAAATGTTTATTTATTTTTGAGAGAGAGTGCGTGAGCAGGGGAGGGGCAGAGAGGGAGAAGGAGACAGAATCCAAAGCAGGCTCCAGGCTCTTGAGTCGCCAGCACAGAGCCCAACCCCGGGCCTGAACCCCGAGCTGTCAGGTCATGACTGAGCCGAAGTCAGACGTTTAACTGAGCCAACCAGGCACCCCAGAGAGTAAGAAGATTCTTTTCACCAAAACTCTTGGTTTTCTAGAGGTGGAAACAGACCCTATTCTAGGAACACACTTTCCTACACACACCTGGCCCCCCAAAACACACCTTTCTACCCTGACTACCTGCTACTGACCTTGCTAATCCACCAGCAGGATCTTTTGCATAGAAACTTTCACAAGAGGGTTGCCTGGTTAAGCATCCAAATCTTGATTTTGGCTCAGGTCATGAATTCACAGTTCGTGAGTTTGAGCTTCATATCATAGTTTGGGGCTTGCTTGGAATTCTCTCCTCTCGCTGCCCCTCCCCTGCTTGCTCGCTCACTCTCTCTCTCTCTCTCAAAATAAATTTAAAAAAAAAGAAAGAAAAAAACTTTCACCAGAAGTCTGTGGCCAACCAGTCTGTGGCCTTCCTTCCAGGAACTTCCATGGATGTTAATGATTTGCTATGTATCAATCTGATTGCACCAATTGTGAGAGCTCAGAATTCTGAGTTGTAGCAATGGTGCAGTATTAAAAAAACTGCCTGAGTTTGCAAATCATTTAAATGGAGATGGTGGTTTTAAGTACTGAGACTATACGTGTTCATTATAGTGCCTGGCTCATACATAAACCCTCAGCAAGTGGTAGTTGTGAGGCCCTGTACACTTTCCACATTTTGCTGTGCTCTATTGGCAGCCCCCTTCCTGTGGACAGTGGGAGTTGACTGATTTTGCCATATTACTTTTAATACATCTTTATGGTGAACTACAAGTTTAATTACAAAAGGGAAAGCTTTATGTGTTCAGAACTGAGAATCTAATTATATCAATGACTTCTCACAATCCAGTGAGGTAGACATTACCCCATCTCACATATGAAGAAACCAGGCAGTTGCATGTTTGAATAACAGGAAAATAGCAAGCTTTGAGAGCAGATGACCTTAGTGGTTAATCAGCATTATTGTGGACTATGATTTTTAAGGCCTCTTTGCTGGAAATTACCACCTGACAAAGTTTGCCATCAGAATTTCCTTTCTAGTTCTCAATGAAAATGATGTTACAAATTATAATAGATAACACCTATTTTTGTTTCCTAAGAACTTCTTTAATAAGGAAATTAGCTTGGCTTTTATTTTCATATAAATAACTGTAGTTGAGTGCCAATGCCATTATGACTGTATTCCCAGTTTACTTGGGTCAGATATTATATAATCAAGGCAAAATGAAATATGGTTTATATTCATGCAGTTGTAAAACTATGACTATTAGGTCACTTGATTGGGTCATTATTTTTTTTAAATTTTTTTAACATTTATTTATTTTTGAGAGAGTGTGAGTGGGGGAGGGGCAGAGAGAGAGGGAGACACAGAATCCGAAGCAGACTCCAGGCTCTGAACTGTCAGCACAGAGCCTGATGTGGGGCTCAAACTCACGAACCGTGAGATCATGACCTGAGCTGAAGTCGGATGCTTAACCAACTGAGTCACCCAGGCACCCCGATTGGGTCATTATTCTAATGAGGCCAAGGTCACAGTTCTTGTGCATGTGTAGGTCAGTGCTGTACCCAGAGACCTTCCTGCTACAAAATGTGTCTATGACCTTGTCCAGTTATGTTCTTAACATGTGTCTTTAGGATCTGGTTGAGAGTGTAAATGGCACAGAAAAAATCATTTCTGTGCATAGGAAATTCAAAGGACATACTCTAAGTTGGTGGTATGCTGAGAGAGATCATTATGGTTTCTTATTCTTATGTCAGTTTGGCTCATTATAAGATAACTTTTGCCCCAAACCAGTTTTATTTGTTAAAATAGTCCTTCATTGGGGCGCCTGGGTGGCGCAGTCGGTTAAGCGTCCGACTTCAGCCAGGTCACGATCTTGCAGTCTGTGAGTTCGAGCCCCGCGTCAGGCTCTGGGCTGATGGCTCGGAGCCTGGAGCCTGTTTCCGATTCTGTGTCTCCCTCTCTCTCTGCCCCTCCTCCGTTCATGCTCTGTCTCTCTCTGTCCCAAAAATAAATAAACGTTGAAAAAAAAAAAAATTTTTTAAAATAGTCCTTCATTTACACATCAAG